AGACATAATTTCGTAGGACATGACTGACAACACACGAAAAGGATAACAGGAAAGGGAAGACGACAATTCCTGTGGAGCATCCTTTCACGGAGAGTGACCAGCTACTTTAGAGGTCATCAGGTGTCGAGAAAACCTCGTGCTTCGGAACGAAACATCGCGGCCGAAACAGCTGCGGATTTGCGTAACGCACAAACCGTGACCTCGCGCGCTCGCGCTAAAAATAAAGAGTCGAATAAAAAAAAAAGAAGATCTTGGCAGTCCTCCGTGTCGCGATTGCACACGGAACGACGACGAGAAGGGTGACACGTTCAGGACTCCCTCGCCGTTCGCACATGCGAGGGGGGGACAAAAAACCCCCCCGCGCTCGCCGTTCGCGCTCACCTGCATTGCGGACCCACGGTGGGTTCTTGCCGCCGCCGAACGGGGACAGATTGCTCATTCTGCGTACGGGCGGACCGTTACGTCGGGCCGACTGTGCGGATGTGTGCGAAACGCGACGGATTTGGCAGACACTCGCGTTCAGCGTCCTTCATTCGGGCGCCATGTTTTCGGGACGTACTGGTGCGCGTACTACGTGAATCGCCGCGGCGTCCCAGATGCGGCCGGAAGTTTGCCGCGAAGAGCACGGCCGTTGAGCACCGCGCGCCATTTTTCGTATTTATCCCATCGCTAACTTGCGTGCGCCAACATGCGGACAGTTGTCAGACAACTGTCTCAAACGATTGTTGTTTCATCTGCCTTAGGTAATATATACGCGTAATTAATATTAGAGGTATAGTATGAAACACTGGGCCATTGTATCTACTGCGGCAGAAAAGTATTTTTTGCTACCGCAACACTTCCCGCGCTAGTAAAAATTGTGTTTACGAAAACTTAAATGTACGTTTTTGTATTTTATGTTTCAGATATTGATAAACAAAAAGTTCGTCGATATTGTAGTTAAAAGAATCGTGTATCTTTTAAAAACTTAACAGATTATTATTTATTATAGTTTTGTCATCATTGATATATCTACTCAAATATTTATAGTGTTAAAAAAAATAAATGTGTAAAAGGATACTTATTTAACAAGAAAATCTTTATGTTTTAAATATTTAATATATATGTCACTCTTCTTGAAAAAAAGAGCTTGAAACTTTTTTTTAACAAATTTATTCTTAGATTGGGCAAATTTCGCATGTTGCATTAATAACTCCTCTCGCAGTATTCGAATACGTTGAGTTCTTTTTCGTTTCAATTGTTTTATTATTCTCTCGTAATTCTCCCCAATTATGTACAAAAATATAATGAGAATCATTACAGAGCTCGTAACGTTTAGGTACATGACGCAATGACGCTCTCATTGTCACAGTTTCTCGCACTTTTGTTAGATCTTTCAAGTGCGCTTAAAAACATGAAATTGTGAAAACGTGGTGGCACACCATACGCGCAGGTTGCTTTTCTCTATGTACATGTGAAAGTATCGCCTTATTATTCATTACGTCCTAAAATTGCATGTCCTCGCATTTTGCAAAAAATTTATAATCAACCGAAGATCAACACTGTGAAGATTAGTTTAGAGAAGAGGACTTAAATATAAATCTTAAGAAGTAAGTCTAAAGTAGCCTAAATTAAGGAAAAAAAAGTAAAAATAACAACGTTCATGTAATTGTTTTATTTCAAATGAACTTCAGTTGTTTCGCGCAAACGTTGCTGCAAATAGAGAAGGATATATCAATAATAAATAACGACTTTGTCATGAATAATGATAATTATTCTTGTATAGAAAACAATTAGATTCATGAGAAATTATAGCTATACTGCAAAACCGCAAGGTAGTTATTACAGACAATCTGCTTTCTCGTTAAAAAAATATTGTGCGGTCGATACATAAAAAAGTTCTTGCTCGTGCTTAAGTTAATAAAGTCAAACGTAATAGCAACGTTGTTTCAGTATTGTGTTCATTAACGGGGGAAAAAAAAAAATCGAAGACTTTCCCTAGTCTCTGTTAATGAAAGTTTTACATTCCGTTTATTGATCTGGCGAGAAACACAACGTTTTGCGTTTTACGTCTTTCAACTACTAATCCGCTCTGTGCGTTTTACTAAGTACAATATAGGATTCTTCACCGACATAGAGTCCAATCGTATTGTGTTTTATTACTCTTTGCTAAAAACGATTATCTATGAAGACACCCATAAAAAAGTTGTAATTTACACTGCGTTCGTCTACTCCTTCTTCTTAAACATATTAATTAGTATTGTTATACCGCAATATCACAACTTAGACTAAGATAACGTAACATAGTACGTCTAACTATCAGCTAGACGCTCTAATTAGTTAGCTTTACCTTTTTTATCGTATATTATTTTGCGTGAGATAAAAAAATGCATAAAGCTCTATCTTCAGACGCTCGAGAGAACTCACTAAATATTTCTCTTAGTTTAGGTTTCCGCCTTTAATTTCATACGATTCTTATGAAATTTTGTTCACGCTCTTATTCAATTACGGCAGTTCTTCAAATTATGCGTATGCGTTGTCATTCGTATTTCGTTATAATGGAAACAAGATGATATCATTCCTTATTATGCTTATGCTGAACCGGAGCAACGTAGCTTCAAGTTTCAATGAACAAATAGTGAACAATCAAACAACTGACGGTGCAAAATCGGCGATTGTAATGTCAATTTCGAAATGCAATAATTCATAGAACACGTGTTTATGGCTGGTATTCATAATCAGTTTTTATATTTAAGACTATCTCTAAGCACATACTTAGGATGTCATAAATCGATGATACATACGCTGAATTGCATCAATATCTTAAGGCATTACTTAAGACGATTTTGAAATAAACACAAATTATGAATACCGCCGTCATGTTTCATGGAAAAATTAATTCTAATATATATATATATAATAATCTATGGAAATATATGTAGTTCCGTCTAGTATCTTTATAATTCATATTTCGAGCTTAAGTAAGTTATATTCTATGCGCTTTTGAGTTTAATTAAAAGTCATTGCTTATGGAAAAAATAGAGGTTTTACAAATGCGAAACTCGTTGCACAAATGAACAGCATGGCGATCTCTTTTCGATGACAATACTAGTTTCCGATTGTTTCGAAAACTAATCGACATCACCAGATGTATGTATACTTTCATGAGGAAGCTCATTATGACGAACACGATGTAAGATTATACGTTCAATTCTTTTATTCTGATTCGCTAGAGCTAGCTTATCCGCCTGTAAAAATAGCCGAGGTTGAATTTATTACAGTCGAGAAAAATGTTTCATCATCAAAGAGATTTTATTATGTCTGGATAAATAATATAGTCATAAAAATAGGAAGTGTGTACAAATATATTAATCTTATAGTGCGACTATTATGATTTCTAAAACATTTGCCCTTCCCCTCGAATATAGTATTATTCGCGTGTATATGTATAATATATCTTGAGACACATTCGCATTCGCTCGATTTCTCTGTGACTGTCGTGATCAAACTTACGGATTGCGTGTACGAGAGGCTCATTACTCGCAATGCGTGCTCCCTTTCTTGAAGCTTGATTCTACGACACTAAAGCTCCGTGATTCCTGCGACATGAATGTCATATGCCTTTCCCGATCGATTAAAAGCGCTCATGTTGCATCGTGCACGATAATAACAAGCCGCAGTGCGGCTTTACATGCCGTTTTTATTAAAGACAAAGCGATTGAAGCAACGAACAAATTCTTTTCGGCAGCTTGCTATATGTTATCATTACTGTCAGTGGTAGAATCAAGCCACGCAGTGAATTAAATATATGAGAAGTTATGGAAAATGTTGGTATAGCCGATAGTATGTATTTAATAATTCGTAACAATTTTTTGAAATAATATGAGTAATAAAAAATAGAAATTGTCAACGTAAATATATATTGCTGCTATATTTTCAGTAATACAATACAACAAAGCATTTTACAAGTAGGATAAAACTTGAAGTCTAAAATAAAAAAAATTTAAATTCGTTTGAAAAATTGATTAAACAATTAACAAAATATATAATCTTGAAAAAAGCCTAACTGTTAAGAAAACAAGAAATATATAAACATTTAGTAAATGGTGAAAAATTTTACGAATTATTATGCTGCTAATGTACTCTATAATTATACAGCTAACTCTGCCATATAATATTTTGGGCAAATTGATATCTGCACTGTAATTTTTAAGAACACCGAAGGTTTGAACACAGTCGGCGTTAGAAAGAGACAGAGTCGGTAATGATGGTCAGAGAGGGGGAAAAGGGTTTAGTTCCAGCAATGTGCCTCAATGGGAGATGTCTTGAAAGATTACATATAACTAAGAAACATTCACACTTGTACTCAACCAGTACAAAAAAAAATTATATGCACAGCGAACGCGCCGCTCTTGCCAATATAATTATCGACAAGGGTTCTCAATATTCCTCGTCGTGTATGTGTGCGCTTTAACATCGCCTCTTACATCATTTCTCACGTTCTCGCGTCTTGTAGAATGTGATCTCTCTTTAATTTAATCAGCTTCAAGTTAATTGCAATGTAGAGATTTTACAAATCGCAGCAGTTTCCACAGCGCCAAAATATGGAAACCATAAAATGAGTCTCTTCGTTTTTTTGTTGTTAATGCTCTTAATAAGTATTATATTATTATTTCCGATACTATAATCGATGTTTTATTTTCGTATGGCAGATGTCACGAATCACTAATTTAAAGATCACGTTATGTTACCATGAAGGCTCAAAAAAGGAAGATGCCATGTCTTTTTTTTACTAACGATTGTTTGCATTGCGTTTTTTTCTTCTATTATTTTTAATACGGACGTCACAACAGCCCTCTCATCGATGATACTATGTTAGTGAACACAACTTCTGTTCTGCTAATAATGCAGAATATTTAACGAGACGTCTCGCTTTATACATGTCGGGTCTTTCGCCCGAGAACCTCATCGTCTTTTTGTCCTCCTTACACGCGCGCATAATTTGATTTCGTATTCTCACGCCTAAGTTTATGAGCGTGTTGCGAGATGATTTTTCACGATAGACGAATGTAGGTACACGACGAGCAGTTGACCAGCATACTGAAAAAAATGGTCGGACTTCCAACGAAACCATGTCCTAAGCGAGCTTCTTCTCCGTAATGTTATTGTTGGCGACGTAACCGTTGTTCGTGCCGTTGCTGTAACAACTGTTGTACTCTTTGTTGTAGATCGTGGCATAAGATGACACGCCATTGTGCGTCGCACTGTCGTTTTCATCCAAGATCGGCATGCAAACTCCACCGGACGTGCCATTTTGCATCTTCTTCGTGGAATTTTTGCCCGCAGGACCGCCTTTGTACTTCGTTTTGTAGAAATCCGAGAACAACCCGAGGAATAGAACACCGTGTAAGCCGATCCAGATCATGAAACCTCGCGGATAATCGCACTCGGTGAAGAGCAATTGGAATTGATGGCACATGATAAGCACAAATTGTATCTGAAATCAAGAGAATATCAAGAGCTAGGTAAATAATAAATAAATAAAAATGTAGTAATAAAAATTCTGACATATAAAACTTTGCGTATATGTGTATGCCAATCACGATAGCTCGAAATATATCGAAAATATGTTTTATAGGCTAGAGAAATTACAATATAATAATACCGACAGATGGATGGGATTACAGAGCGAATGGGATTTTAAATTGAGAATTGGTCAGTGATTTATTTTAATCCGCTTTGTTAATTCCATTTATTTAATTAATTTTATCAAACACCTCAGAAAATAATCATTTTTGTAAGAGTTACATTTATTTTGTAAATCTTTATGATTCCCAAGATGATTCCCTTGTATTATTTACGTTACATTTAAAAAACGATGTAAATTAAATTTTACAAAATACGAAATAACTTTTAAAAATATAGAAGAATGTACTCAATTACTAACGAATATTTTCGGATAGAGTGCTATTTGCAAAGGAAATAATGTCGCGCAGGATAGAACGTTTTAATGAACATGGTTCTGTAATCGCTACGATTATTACTGTTGAATTCTTAATAACGCGAGGCAGTGCCGAACTTACCATTTGCATGGTAGTGAGATGCTTCTTCCACCAGATGTACTTCTGATATTGCGGCCCCATTGCAGCTATCATGTAATAGAAGTACATTACGATGTGTACGAAGGTATTTAGGAGGGCAAAGAACGTGCTGTGGCCGCCCGGTGCAAATTTCACTCCCATCCACACGGAAAAGGGCATTACTCCGTGATGAATTACGTGAAGAGTTGAGACGTGTTGGTTCTTTTTCCTCAGAATAAAGAACAGCTAAAAAAAAAATCATGCAAATTTTTCGATTACTCTCTTTATTTTTCTTAATATAATTTGGCTTAAAGTATTCCCCAACAAATTACTTTTTCCAATGACATCAAAATAAATGTCGATTCAAACTTAAAAAATATTTTATCTTTCTATAATATTTATATAGATATAAAATATAAATGATAACTAATTTCTTTGTATCAATGAGAGTATAAAAAAGTAGAATAACATTTGGAGGATTTCAACATGTTCTGATTAGAAATATAAATATTAAATGAAATAACAGGTATAAAGAAGACGAAGAAGGAATTGATTATTCCTTTTCAAGTTAGAAAGTCTTTGACAAATATTTAAGATTCAAAGATATATAATCGAAATTTTTGCTAAAGTTTTAAATGAATTTATCGAACGAAACTTTCGTGCTTTTACATCTGTTTCAGTCTATCTATATCGACAAGTCAAGTGAAAATCGATACTCACCGTATCGAAGAACTCGGTAAATTTACTAAAATAGTACCACCAGCAGATTCTTGCCATTCTGAGAGCTATCGGGCTATACGAATAGTCCACCGGTTGGCATCGGAAGCTGTAATCTATCGCCCAACCGCTCATAAGATACTGAAACAATAACATACAAACTGTTCAACTATGCTTAACACATTTGCCAAAGTTGTGACTGTTAATCTTTATTATCTTTTACGTATAAGTTTTTGACACGATCATAACACATATATTACAAACTACGAGAGATTATCCTAAAAGACTATCAATTATAAACTGCGCTTCATTCTGCCAGCAAACGCAAAAAATAAATCAATAAAACGATGAAGAGGTTTTAGCCGTTTTAATTTTTGTATGATATAGAGATATGAGAAAACAATTTCTGTGTAAAAGGATTATAAAATTATCACAGGGCGGACAAATAAAATGTTTACAAATTTTGGTGCGATTAAAATTATAAAATTTATTTTTAGAATCAAGATTGAAGAAAGATTTTTTGTATTCAAATTATTCAAATTAATTTCAAGTTATTTAAGTTATTCAAATTAACACTTTACATGTTTATGATATTTCTTGATATTATGATAAAGATGCAAAAAAAAGGAAGGAAAAAAAAGGGGAAAAAAAACAGAAGTATGGATCGATGTCCGCACTTCCGTCAGACGAACGCGTAAAATTTTCGAGTTAACGGTCCGTTCAACTGAATTTCCTTGAATTTAAGAATGGATTCGCGTGGTTGAAAGGCGTCGGACGCTCACGAGGTCGTTGCGAGCGTGGAATTAATTCGCTAAATGGGTCCAATTATACTCAAGAGTTGCAATACCGTTATAATCTGTTGCGCGACGGAAAGACATTACGTTTGCAGAGTAAATTAGTCTTACACTTCCTGCTCGTATTCATAGCAGCCTTTTGCACTGAATTGACAATCGAATGACAATCAAGTTCTAGTTGAGACATCCACATATGGAAGATCGAATAGGTTAAATGATTAAAAAATGATACTCGAAATATATAACAATAACGAACGTTGCAAATATTTGTTAATCGTAATTATATTACTCGTCTATTACATTACTTTTTTTATCCGAGCAATTTTCGGTATATTTTTTAAAATTAATTTCCCGTATATATTTGCTCCAATGTTACGAAAATATGTTACTTTTATTTTAATCTATGAACGTAAATATCGCACGATCTATGGGCACATATGGAACGTACCGTCATCGGAAACAGTTATCGTATCTGTATTAAATATAAACGACAAAATAAAAAACATATTTCAAACGTAAAATAGT